CAAACAAACAAACAAACAATCATTGTGTGCATTACACGCTGGATTGAGAATATTGAAGGTTGAGAAAGGTTCTGTTTATGTCATCCATTCTTACTTCACATGTGTGACGTTATTATATATAGAGATGATAACTTTGAAATGTTTAATGATAATTGGGCTGCTGAAGATAAGAAAAAAGATATGGTTTATTTAAAAATACTGTAATCCTTTTGATTTCATTTTTGTTTAACAGCTTTCCCTTTACTATTTGAAATAAACTTCTGTAAATTTGTAAGGTCCAAGACAAGACATTGTTTCTGGTGTTTCCCTAATAGAACAATTCTGTAAAAAACTGACTTCACTAAGTGTGAACGTAGATCATTATTCACATCGTATCTTCAAACACAGCAGTAATACTATAAACAAATCTAATATCAAGCCCAACGTGGAAATGCAAAATATAGTTCCGTGGAGGATTACTGTAAGAAAACAGTAACCATTTCTTTTCTTGACCACATTATCAGTAATCTTGTCTCAAGATTTGATGCACATGTAAAGTAAGCAGTCTAAATTCAGAGACTTGTGCCACCAAACTTCCCACAAGAGTTTTCTATCTCTGATATCAGACAGGCTATAGATTTTTACAGGGAAGATTTGCCAAATCCTGATATTTTTGATGAAGAACTTCGTCGATGGAAGAGAAGATGGCTTTCTATACCTGTCCAGGACAGGCCCTAGATACTGGGTGACTGCTTAAACGCGGGGTTCAGTGTACCAAATATATTTATGTTACTGAAACTCTTTGCCACACTTCCATTAAGTTCATGAACGTTCGGCATCTGTTCTCCGTCGGTTGATGTCTACACAAACCGAAGAAAGACTAAGTGTTCTAGCTTTAATACATAATCATTATGACACTGCTATCAACATTGAAACTGTATGTAAATTATTCATGGAAAAGCACCCCAGAAGAATGGAGCATGCTAACATGTTATTTCAGTAGTGCATACATGTACGTATATGATAATGATTGAAATATCTAATATACTATTGTTGTATAGAGTTGTTTAAATTAGTAATATAATTTAACAATTAATAACTACTCTGTATGTATATAGTACAGTAATTTATTATAATAAAACATACATATTTATGTTAATTTAAGTCTGGCGCCCCATGCAGTGTTACAACAGAATAATGATTTGTTGACTTCATTGTATGTTAGTGGATTTTATGTGAACAACCATACAAATGTTGAAGCTATATTCCATACACAATTGCTCCCAGATTTAATCTCTTAGCACCTTTTTGTAAAACATTTTCTGGGGAGCATGCCCCCAGATCGCCGTAGTATTAACATGCTTGTATGCTGATTGTTCTTCGCACAATATGTGTTGGCTTATGAGTTCACAAATTAGAATCCTCCCTTTCAAACATTCTGTGTACTGTCCTGTAGAAAGATGTAGATTGAGTTAAAGAATAGAATTAGTGTACGCTAATGTATTGTTTGTTTGTTTGTTTTGAATTTTGCGCAAAGCTACACGAGGGCTATCTGCGCTAGCCGTCTCTAATTTAGCAGTGTAAGACTAGAGGGAAGGCAGCTAGTCATCACCACCCACCGCCAACTCTTGGGCTACTCTTTTAACAAAATCTTGAAACTTAAATGTACGAAATTATTGTAATAAAGCACTATAATAATGAAAAAGATGTAAAACATTGTTGTTACATTAGCGTGGCCCGGCATGGCCAGGTGGTTAAGGCGCTCGACTCGCAATCTGAGGGTCGCGGGTTCAAATCCCCGTCACACCAAACATGCTCGCCCTTTCAGCCGTGGGGGCGTTATAATATGACGGTCAATCCCACTATTCGTTAGTTTTGTTTTGTTTTTTGAATTTCGCGCAAAGATACACGAGGGCTATCTGCGCTAGCCGTCCCTAATTTAGCAGTGAAGGCAGCTAGTCATCACCACCCACCGCCAACTCTTGGGCTACTCTTTTACAAACTAATAGTGGGATTGACTGTC